CTCGAATGGTGCCGATTTCGATTAAATCTGATGAGTATTAAAAAAGTTACGATCGTTTGGAACACCCAAAACGCTGAGAACTTTCCGGACAACCTAATACTCAAGCTATTCTTCTATTATTCTAGACAAATAGGGAGTCTGGATAGTTCTACTGACTGCTATACTTCTAAAAACGGCGAAAGATCACGCAGCGTGTCTTTCATAACAGCCGGCAGTGCCATGCGGTTCATCACCTCAAGGCTGCAACATTGGCTGCTTGCGATGCCATACACGAGACAACTATGGAAAACTTCGTTCAGGAGCATGCCGGATAAAGTGATCAAACTAGCACAAAATCACATAGGAGCTACCAGACTTTCATCTCAAAATATCTTTGCTTTTCCGTAAGTGTCCACATGCTTTTGGTACAGAGAAACCTTTTCCAGTAACAAAAAAAAATGTGAAGACGCCCACAAGACGGGCGAAGTGAAGTATGTATACTATGGTTCCCGTGTCCGAGGAATTGAGCAGTGAAGTTCCTATCTCGCCAAAATCAAAAGTGTTCTTGTAGAGTCAAAACTCGGTGTGTCCCCCCCCCCAAATTTTGTTCCGCACTGTAGAAAATTGGATCGACTCTCGTTTAGGCGACGCGAACCTTCTTCCGGGCTTAGTTATGGGAACAAACTTGTCTAAGGGATTAAAATAAAACTTATAAGCTTGACTATCATGGTAGAGACCACAATTGCATCAGAACGGACACCCCGGGGATTTGTTGCGAGCAAGCTCTGTTTCGAACTTGAATCGAAACCGGTCTAAATGCGTGGGTCATCCCAAAGAGGGTTCGATCAACGCCAAGTGCTTCATTTTTTCATGCCCATTCAGGTTCGGTCCAGTGCGAAAGATAAGAGTAGCATTTTTCTCAGCGAAGTTCTCCAAAATGTCTCATACACTACATAATTTAGGAGATGATATACTCCTTCCTCGTCCTCATTTGGAGAAACTTTGGAGAAGCGTAGTGAGTGCTTCTTGAGGTCTTCCATCTATACTTTGCGATTCGTGAGTTGTAAATGTCGACCGCCTTCAGACGGAAATGTTAGGCCGGCCCATTACTGTGCTCATTTCAGAACTACTGGACGATTTTGACGACTCAAATGGGCACACGTGCACATTATTGTCCAACACAACGGCTCAGTACCAATTTTGAGCTCCATTTAAGTCGAGTACGAAAAACGCTCACTTGCTGAATGTAGACGAAGAGGACCACATTAGGAGGATTATGGCACGCCGAAATGAAGACTTAACTGAGCAGCAGAATCAAGCGCACGTAGCGGAATACACAACGCGGGGTCGTGCGTGACTTGCGGGTAGGGTTAGGTTCGTACGTGCAGGAACAGATCGGTGACAACATAAGTGGGACCCTACTATTGCTTTTCTGCTTCGTCTTTGAACGCTGTATCTCCATGTTGGAGAGCCATGACAAGTGGCTTATGTTAAGCCAGTCAGATCATCCGGCTACCGCCCGGTGCTCCTTCTGTCACAGCCCGGCTTCGCCAGGCACTACGCTGGGCGCTTGAGATTCAAAGTATGATGTGGTAAATGAATACATCAAACTAGCAGCTAATGCAGACGCATTATCGCGGGGCATCGTTAAAACATCCGTAACATGCCCTACCCATACAGAGGACGGAAAGAGTTGTTTCGAAAATAACTGAATCAGAGTGGCTTTAAGCTTCGCTGTGATAAGGACTTTAACATGGTCATAGACTGTGGAGGCGAACGCCAAGTAGAAATACGATTTCCAAGGTACGATAAGACGTTATGCTCGGCTGATTTTGTCATTGCTGATGGAAGACTAAAGCCTATCGGACCTGATGAACGTTTGAGGGATGTTGTACCCAACTCCAGAAGTCATGATTTGTTCATGGAAGCACATCATGGAACAATGGCAGGTCATTTTGGTGCGCGGTATTCCAACAGCTGAGCAAACATGTCTTTTGGCCCGGAATGAGGCAGGACATCGTAAAGTAGACCCCAGCGGTGCTTCCTCAAACAATGCTACAGGCCAAGTGCCTCCAATAAAGCTATAGTGACCACAAAGCCATTTGAAATAGTGGGAGTTGATTTACTGGAGATAGGAGTCACAAGTCGAGGCAATCGTTATATAGTGACAATTATTGATCACTTCACGAAGTATTTAGGTCTGCTCTATACGAGATCATGGGCATAAAGCACTTACCTACGGGTATTGCCCTCGTGAAAGCGGAGTAACTGAGCATGTGAATGGCACAATAATCTCCATGCTGCGGAATAAAACAGGTACCTACAGAATGGGACAAGATCTTGCCTACAGTGTTTATGCATACAACGCATCACCACATTCCGCAACGGGCGAAAGCCCTCATTTCTTGGTTTATGGCCACGATCCCCGTATTCCATCAGAAGTCATTCCAAGGGATCAGCTGTCGGCGTATATGGTGGACTATGACCAATACAAAACAGAGTTTTTAAGTGGATTGAAGCTTGCAAGCGAGTGCATTATTGACCAAAGTGAGAAGTAGAGAGCTAAAGCAAAAGAGTGGTACGATCGCCACTGGAAAACCGACAGAACGATTGCTTTCAACGTAGGAGATCGTATCTATGTTAAAGTACCCGGAGAAAAAGAAGCATCAGCACATCCCAATTGACTGTTTCCTGGAGTGGTCCATACAGGGTAATTGCATCAACACCCAATTCAGCGACTGTAACTGAAATTGGGGTTAACAAAGAACCCATACAAGTCCCATTCGACCATCTGATCAAGGTGCCATCGTCGATAGACGATACTCCTGTAATAAGCAGAAAGCGTAGAGGCGCTAAACGAGGAAGAAAAGGAAAGATGGCAGCAACTTTTGACGATGTATCACCGTATGTAGCAGAAGTTTACAGTTTTCTTTCTTTTTTTTTCTTTCTATTGTTCATGCTGCTTTAATTGTTAGTTTCAGCTCTCGACGTTCGGTTCG